TCAGCTTGTATTTGGATTTATATATGTTTAGTTTTATATTTGGATTGATGAAGCCAAGAAGCAAGAACTATGAACGATCATAATCATCACCATCATCTATGCCTTATCCAAACTATATACAAGGCCAGTTACACGAATCCCGTTTGGCTATTCTGTTCTGTTTAATGCCATATCCATACTTCTATAGTGTTTAAAAAATCTCTTACCACTTCAACTCATGTTCTTTTTGGTTTAATTCTAGCCTTTTTAGCCCTCTTCAACTTGCAACGGATCAATATAAGACCCATCTTAATACAATTACCTATAAAAAATAATATAAAAAAATAAAAGTAGTAAAGGAAATGCAAAAAGTGATACTTCTATGATGGGGGTTTTCTATAATGTGAATTGTTTTTCCTGTTGCGAGTTTAAAAAATAAATCAAAACCATCTTGTTTGAAAACAAATACACAAGAAACATGTTCTTTGTTGTGTATGTGTTTTTTTTTGTTTTCAAAACTAAAACCAAAAACATATTCTTGAATCTGGTATCAAAAAACGTGTTTTCATCATTATTCAACATCATGTTCCATAAATCATATAATTTTTATACTAGTAAAATTATTTTTTTTTTTGTTTTAAAAACTAATATTTTGTTGGTTACAAAAACATGTATGCATTAAGGGGTGTATTAACACTTTGACCCTCATGCTTACTTTTTTTTTTTTTTTTAGTTTTTTCCTTCAAAATACCTCAAAAAAGATGTATCTATGGGTCACCAAAAGTTATGATACGGTATGCCTGATAGTACTGAAAATTTGAACCTTGATTTGATGCATGTGAGCCTATAGATGTGGATTTAAGATGGGGCAGAGTGGTTTATTCTGCTCGGAAATAACCACTTAAGAGTAGAGTAATCTGTTCGAGCACTTGATGAGATCAAATCAGCCCCCACAAGACTTCGCCCCACAACGTCCCATAGCATATCCCTGCCGTGTATTAGGAACATCTTCTGATGATATCATCATTTCTGATATTAGTATTGGGAGATGTTCCCAATACATGGTGGGGATGTGTTGTAGGATATCGTGAGGCGCAGTCTTGTGGGTGGCAGATTCGAACTCGCACTTGATACACGTTTTTTGGATGATGGATGCCTTCCAGAGTTGAGAGAAAATTAGCCCCCCACAAAATTGCCCCCACTACGTCCCACAGCACATCCTCGCCGTGTATTGTGAACATCTCCCGATAATGATATTATCATCGGGAGATGTTCACCATACACGACAGAAATGTGCTGTGGGACGTTGTGGTTGTGGGGGGCAATCTGGTGGGGGGCTGATTTGAACTCTCCAGAGTCCAGACTAAGCCCTTGGGCTCATAGTTTGGGCTAAAGGATGTATTATTCCTTTGGGGGCAGTTGTTGGGCTGAAGAGCCCAAACCTTGAGATGTGGCAGGTTAACTCCACAATTTAAAGCAACTGGTATTTTTATGCTCTCTCTCTCTCATAGTGTCATACTGTTGGAATCCTTGTGGGACAGTTCGAATCAAGCCACTAAAAGGGATTTCTTTTATTCTTTAATGTTCATTAATGCTGAACTTGAGAATGAATGCCAGCTCTAATTAATTGGTCTTTTTATTTTGGCATTGGATCCTCAGACTGGTCATGATAATTTTTGGTGATGGGTCAATAGTTGAAGATTAATTGGACCAAAAATTATCCAAAACATGTTTCTAAACAAGTAGTTAGGGTTGGGGGGTGGTCAAGTGAGTTTATGTCTACATCAAAGGTGACTAATTTTGGACTAGGAATAATGGGCTATAATTTTCCTATGGGCCTTCTATTTCTGATAGGGCTTATTCATCTAGTGAGTTTATGTCTACATCAAAGGTGACTAATTTTCTTCGATTGCTACTTTAATGGTTTTCCTGTGGGCCTTGCCATAGAGGATTTTGGACTAGGAATAATGGGCTATAATAGAAGGCCCAGATGCTGGCACTTTTAACCTGTTTTCAGCTTACTTGCCCTGGCCCAGCCAATTGGCAGAATCTTAGGTGGCTCCGGAAACCTAACCTCCTCTGTTCTTAAATTCCCAAAACTCACATTTTTGGAAACAAAAGGGAAACCTTATGACGATGCTTCTCCATAACTTAATAGTCCTATCTACTTTTCTTTTTGATTGCAACAAACAGGGTTAAGTATAGAAATTATGGTTGGGAGGATTTGTGTGAATGATGATGGAACCATGGAGGTTAGCTTTAATTATTCTATACTTTAATGTGATCTTTATATTAGTTTTTCAGCCAGCGGGGAGACTAACCTATGCCTTTATTTATTATGTAAAAAAGTGGAAAATAATAGTTTTTCGATTACTTGGATGAGCTAAAGATATTGCTTGGTTAATGACCTAGAAAGGTTGTTCTTGGGTTCATGCAATTTCAATATGACCTTATAATAAGAAATGATCAAATGGAAATTCTGTAAAGGAGATGAAGAAAAGGTTTCTTTTAGAATTAATCCACGTTTGCTTTAGTAATTAATAGGAAAGTGAATAATATCCCACGAATTAGGAAGGTGTATAATAGGAAATTACAATTAAGAAAGTGTATATCCCCTGAATTAGGAAGGTGTATAATATCTTGATTAGATAGGAAGGTGCATAATATCTTGCTAGACTTTCCTTTTTCCTTTACTTTTTTTTCTTTTACTTTCTATTTTTCTGCCCACAACTTGTATATATAGTGTGGCCTTCGGCCCCTATTGTATATGTTTTTCAAGAGAAAGAATTTCTCCTTGTTCTTCTCCTCCTTTGAATTATAGTCTTATGGTTTTATCAGTTGTTTCTTAGTTATTTTTCCCCTTCGTGGTTTTCTTATGGTATTAGAGCGGTGGTGAGTTTCACCACTGATCCGTTTAGAGGGTGTGTGCCCATCGAAGAAGAGGAGTCGTGTGACTCGTAACAGTGAGGTTCGGTGTGTATCAAACCACTTCTTCAATCCAACCGTATTTCGGGTAACCTCCTATCTGAAGCAATGACTGGGAGCAGTTCATCCACCTCTTTCAAAATTCCATCAATCAGCGATCTAATGTCTATATATTATCTAAGCTCGTCCGATAGTCTAGGTATGCTTCTAAGCCAAATCATTCTTAATGGAGATAACTATCATATTTGGGAAAGGGCTTTTCAAAGAGCTCTAAAATCTAAAAACAAATTGAATTTCATTGATGAGATTCTAGAGAAAGATAAGGTGGATGACATTGAGAAAAATACTTGGGATAAATGCAATGCTATAGTTGTTTCATGGATCTTTAATTGCGTCGACAAAAGCATACAAAACACTATAATTTCCTTTGATGATGCTAGAGAGTTGTGGATTGAACTTCAACAAAGAGATCATCAAGGACATGGTCCTCGAATATATCAATTGAAAGGGGAATTAAATGAATTCAGACAAGGGTCATGAGTGTCACAGATTACTATGCTAAACTAAAGGGAATATGGGATCAGTTAGATCAG